GAGGGGGCTTTCTGCTGGGAGGCAGAGGGGAAGGTGACTGGAGATAAGGAGGTCAAGGGGCTGGGTGAGTCTTTTTTTTTTTAACGTTTAGTTTTTGAGAGACAGAGAGAGACAGAGCATGAGCAGGGAAGGGGCAGAGAGAGAAAGGGAGACACAGAATCCGAAGCAGGCTCCAGGCTCCGAGCTGTCAGCACAGAGCCCAACATGGGGCTCGAACCCACGAATCGTGAGACCATGACCTGAGCTGAAGTCAGACGCTCAACCGACGGAGCCACCTAGGCGCCCCTGTCCACCTGCGTCTTAAAGACGCACTGGACCAGCCTCGGGACTTGGGGCAGAGATGAAGGCTGAACCAGGGTCTGGTGTCTTCAAAGAAAGAGGAGCGTGCCCTGGATTGTGGGGCGGAGGCAGGCGGATTCCAAGAAGGAGCTGTGGAAGCTAGAACAGGTGCGTGTGGTTCTGGCCTTAAAGGAGCAGGGTGTCGTTTCTCCGAAGAAGCTGAAAAGAACTTTGCAGGTGGAGGAGGACAGCGGCCCCCTGTCCTGGGCATTGGGCAGTATGGTGTGGGAGAATCGTCCCACTGAAGAGGCCCGTGGTGTGAGTGAGGGCCAGGCTGGGGGGGTAAGCGTGAAGGTTGGGGGGGGGAGCCATCAGTGAACACGGTGAGGACGCAGGGGAGGGCACCGGGGATGGGGAGCACCGGATGGCCCAGGCTGATGGTTTGAGAGTAAAGGCTCAGGAGAGGTGAGATGACCAAGGACCTTCATCCTGGGCATGACCGCGGGTCCTACTTTCTAAATCAAGCATTTATTGAATGCTTACTGTGTGCCAAGCCGTCTTCTAAGCATTCCATCAACGGCTAACTCGGAATACTGGTAACAGCCTTGCAGGATGGATGCAGATAGCCTCATCATCTCCTCTTTACGGAGGAGGAAGCTGAACTATGGAAAATTACTGTGCTGAAGTAGACGGCATCACCGGTAAGCAGACGAGCAGGGATTTGAACCAACACGGGGCGGTGCCAGTGTCCGGAGGTCTCAGTCACCACCCACGGGCAAGACAGGCTTGGCTGACAATAAGCTGTTGACACATACGGGCCTCAGCTACGGCTGGACAGCGGAAGGGATGTGTGTCTGCCTGAACTATGAGCTGGGACCTGATTCGACTGAGCTTCTGAGTGTGTCTGGTTGTGTTAGGCGGGCAGACACGAAACGATTGGGTCCCCGGGACCCCCGACGGAGGCTGGACACTGCAGCAACGGAAGAGTCTGATGCAGGCGTCCGGGCTCCCCACAAAGGTCAGGGTGGCCTGCTTCGACAGTGTTTCCCTCAGAAACAGGAAGAAATGGAGGCAGGCAAACCTTGAGTTCTGGCCACCCCGGACCAGCTGTGTGACCTTGCTTTGCCCATCTCGCAGTGAAATGGGGGTCATCGCGGGTACCATACAGGCTTTGGAGGCTGATTGAAAAGATGGCTGTGAAAAGAAAGAAGCTGGCCCGAGAGATGACAGTGTAGGGGTTTTGACTGTCGACATCCCCAGATCTGGCTCCCGGATCCCTCACCCTGGAAGAATTAGGGGCATCCCCGTATTTCTAGAGCCCAGCTCTCCCGGTGGGCCTCCTGGAGGGTTGCTCAAGGGTTGCTCCCTTTCCTCGGCAGAATTTCGGGAGATAGGATTTTTCTGGAAACGGTTTTGGAGCATAGAAGAACAGGCCTGCAGAGAGTGTAGGGTTCCTGGAGATTTAGCCCTTTCCTCAGCGGTGTGGATGATTCTCATCTTGAGCTCGGGCCTCCCCTATTGCCTGGCTTCTTGGCTGAGGATTCAGCAGTTGGGCACAGAAGCCCATACAAACCCCAAATCCCCCAAATCCTTTAATCTACCCGAGCTCTTTGAAGGGGTGAAAATGCCCCGGGGATAAGGGGACTGAGCCCCTGTCGTTTATTTTCATTTGCGAGAAGCTTTTGACAAGGTCCCACCCTGAACGCTATGAAGATAAGGAAAATGTCACGGGTGGAAGGAAACAAAGAATGAAAATAAGAGGAGAGTCCTGTGGGTGGAGAAAGTCGTTGGGGGAGGGGGTTCTCTTGAGTCCAGAGTTGGGGTTCAGTTCATTCAACACTGACACACACTCTGGAGGACATCCCCTCAGGGAAACCTCAAAGTCCAGGGGTGACATTGCAGTGATTACCCAGAGGAAGGGAATGAGTGGGAGGCTCTCAAGAGATAGTGCAGGCAGGGGCATCTGGGTAGCTCAGTCGGTTGAATGTCTGACTCTTGATTTTGACTCAGGTCATGATCCCAGGGTCGTAGGATTGAGCCCCACATTGGGCTCCACGCTGAGTCTGGAGCCTGCTTGGCATTCGCTCTCCTTCTCCCTCTGCCTCTCTCTCTCTCTCTCCTCCTCTTTCTCTCTCTCAAATAAAACTTTAAAAAATTAAAAAAGGGAAAGTATAAATGGGCCGGGGACATATGGTTAGCAGAAGGTGATGTATTTGGGGGAGAAATAGCCTGAAAAACTATCAGAGGGCTAAAGGTTTTTAGTCACAGTTGAAAAATGCTATTTTAGGGCCAGACTGTTTCCTTAAAATTGTTTCCCCACAGGGGTGCTGTTCACCTTTAGGGCCAGAAAATTCCTCACTGGGCAGAACGGTCTAATGCCACCGCTGGACATTTAGCATCCCGGACCCCTGCCCGTTAAACGACAGTGGGTCCCACCTCCCTGCACACACCAGTCATTTCCACCACTGAAAAAATGGCTCCTCACATTTACACATCCCTCCCTAGAAGAGCCTCCTATTCTCCCACACCGTTCTGATCCACTTGAAATTTAGCCCAATGTGTCACTAAGCACAGCCTTCCCCGCAAAAGCTAAATAAATTCTCAGAAAAGGAGTCGGAAATGAAACAGGATGCATTTAAGTTTAGGACCTTCTGGAAAGTTCTAGCCATCACATCTCAAAATGCCCTCAGAGATGGAGATGGCCTGGACCAGGGAAACATGATTGTGATAAGATCTGGTAACATGAATAAGGCAGAGGACGGGACGGAGAGTGTCAGGAAGGAAGACGCATTTTACACAAGGTACTGGGGTCGGGGAGGGGGATTGCCTCTCCGAGAAGGATCCAGTAGAGGAGAGTTAGGTGAGGAAGGGAGCTGTGGGGGTATGGGGAGGGGGGGAGAAAAATGTGTGCTCCAGGCAGAGAAAACAAGTGCGGAAGTCCTGAGGCACAGCTTGACTTTCATGAGGAACAAGAAGGAGGCCAGCTTGGTGGGGGCTTGGGCAGCGAGATGGAGAGTGGTAGGAGATGAGGTCAGAGAGGTGAGGGCAGGCCAGGGTACACACGGTCTTGCAGAGCTTGATAAAGAATCTGAACACTTTGGGACACATCCTGGGTACCTCTAGGGCCTTGGAGTTGTTTTTCCCATGGTTCTTAACACCACATCGTTGCCCTGACTTGACTAATCCATGGGCGTCTTGAGGGAGGGGGACCCACTGTTTCACACGCTGCCAGCCACAGACTAGGAATGCACTACAAATTCATTAAAATTAAGCAACTAAAACCCACAGAATTATGGAAAAGTGCCCCCCCCCCCAAGAAGCCACTTGTGTCGTAATCCCTGGGACCTGTGAATGTGACCTTATATGGCAAAATAAGGTCTTTGCTGACGTGACTCAGTTAGAGACTATGAGATGGGAAGATCGCTGTGGATTATCTGGGTGGACCCTAAATGCCATCCCAAATGTCCTAAGAGAGAAGCAGAGGGAGAGCTGACAAGACGCAAGAGGAGAAGCCACATGAAGTCAGAGGCAGAAACGACAGTGACGCAGTCACAAGCCAAGAATGCCAGCGGCCACCAGAAGCTGAAAAAGACAAGGGACTTTTTCTCCTCCAGAGCCTCTGGAGGGAGCACAGCCCTTGATTTCAATCCAGGGATACTGATTTCAAACCTCCAGCCTCTAGAATTGTGAGAGGATAGATGTCTGTTGTGGAAAGCCACCAAGGCTATGGGAGTTTGTTATCGTGGCCATTTACCAGCAAATCCTAGGGCTTCCAGAATGAAGAGGGTCCCCCTCAAATCTTAAAGGGTGAGCTTGGGGTAAATGAAAGGAACAAAGAGAGGGACACTAATAGTCTGATCCTGAAATGTCCCTGAAGTCTTGCTTTTGGTCTTCTCCTCATGAGCAGTGACAGAATCTCGCTGTCCATTCCCTCCCACAATGCTGAGTTGAGCATTTTCTGCATAGGCTTGCCGAGAGCTCGCTGTGTGTTGGGGTGTCATAAGCCCCCTTTTCTGGAAGCCAGGATTCCAGCCCCTTTATGATTCAGGACCCAGTCCGGAAGAAGTTGCGATAGTCTCCTGAGCATTTGAGAGAAAAGGAGCCACAATATGAGGGGTCTTAGCCCACGGGGAAGCCAGAAGCTCTTCACTTCAAGGTGTTTATACACTGAGGTCAGGCACCTTGGGTTCTTCTGGAACCACGGATTAGGATGCTTGAAAGAATGGGAGACCACTGGACGTTGTGACTCTACGAAGTCTATCCCAGTCACCACTGAGGGATTCAGAACAGGTCCCACTCAAATTCCCAAGGGTGCCTCTGTATTGGAGCCCAGCGGAGTTGGAGAAGGATGGGAAGAGCCCTCAGAAAGCATCTTCTTCCAAGGGAAGAAACTGAGGCAGGGAGGTTGAGCGACCTGCCCAGGAGATGATGTTCCCAAAGATGGCTGGGAGTCATCAAAGTAGGTTATGGGTCACCCACTCGACCACACCTAGGGAAAACCTGCTACATTCGATCCTGCTAACTTAGGTGGGGGGGGGGGGGGGGGAATATCATGATTTGATGAAAAAAACGTTTTTCATGACAAATGATTACATAAAAAGTTTCTATATATAAAGGAGTAAGCTTCTGTTTCTTGCCAAAATCAACTACGTAGAATAGCTTATTTCCCCCCCAAAATGTCGGTGAAATAAGGTATTGCTGGTCTACACGTCACACAGGGAGAAAGTTTAGGGGACTTCATTCTAAGAGGTGGTACAGGATGAAAACAGACGCGGACCATTGATTCGGATTGGGTGAGTGCACGGATTATTCGACCACCAACAAGGTGTTAAAGGAACGTAGGACTGGGGGAGGAAGAGAACCTCTCTCTCCCTCTCACTGATGTTGCCCTTCAGGCCAGGAGGAGCCAGCATGCTAGCCCCCCGAATGATGCCGGAAAGTAGACACAGGGCTGCATAGACGCGACCCACCCTGCAGAGCGACCTCCTAGCCTCTGGCTGCGTGTGTGGTTTGTGGGGTCTGTGCGGGCACCCAGCTTCCCGCTGCTGCTTGCGAGGAGCTCCTTGAGGGGTCAGCAGGGCAGGGCAGGCCCGAGAAGGTCACTAGGATCGTGCTCCAGTCACACCTTCAGCTCTACACCCCTGTGACAGTAGGTGCTTGGACTACGCAATTATGTCCCTCCCGAAGTCATGTGTTGAAGCCCTAATCCCCAGTGTGATGGTATCTGGAGGTAGAGCCTTTAGGGGATAATCAGGTCATGAAGGCGGTGTCCTTATGAGAGACACGATCTCTCTCCTGGCCGTGTGAGGACGCAGCGCGAAGGCAGTCATCTACAGACCAGGAAGAGAGCCTTCACCAGGAACCAAACTGGCCGGCACCTTGGTCTTGGGCTTCCCAGCCTCCAGCTTGTGAGAAGTAGATGTCTATTGCTCAAGCCTTCCCGGCCGGTGGTGTTCTGTTACAGCAGCCTGGGCTGACTGAGTCAGTGGGCAAGTCGTTTCGCCTCCGGGAGCGGCAGTCACCTCTCCTGAGAAACGGGGATGGAAGCGTTCTCGGTCTCCTCCCTGCCTGCCTCCCTCCCTCCCTTCCTCCCTCCCATCTCTTCCGTGGGTATATCAGGAGTACCGAGTACAAAAGACCGCGAGATGTCCCGAGCTCCAAACGAATACACTTTTTATAAAGAACCCTGTACAACTGCCCTCGCCATGGTTACCACAGGGCCACCCCCCTCTAGAGAGGATGACAAACTGCCCTGGGCCACTGGAGATCAAGTAGGGGACGGTGACACTGGTACCACAAAAGTCTGGACTTGGTGTTAACAATACTTTACTAATTACTGGTAAGTCAATGAGCACGAACGATAAGTATTGTTAAAAGAAACCACTTCAGCTTGGGGTTGGGGAGATCCCAGCTTGGGGTTGGTGGAGTCCGTAATCATGATCACAGCCACAACGACCCGGCCACCATCACAGTCACCGTCACCATCACAACCACAGTCACATCACTGTCACCATCACAAACATAATCAGTCACCATCACATAATCACCATAATCACAGTCACCACCAGAATCACCACCAGAGTCACCATCACTGTTGTAATCACTGTCACCATCACAGTCACCGTCACCATCACAGTCACCCTCACAACCATAGTCACTGTCACCATCACCATCATGACCATAGTCACCGCCACCATCACTGTCACCATCACAGTCACTGTCACCATCACAACCATAGTCACATCACGGTCACCATCACAAACATAAACAGACACCATCGAAACCATAATCACAGTCACTGCCAGAGTCACCATCACTGTTGTAATCACTGTCACCATCACAGTCACTGTCACAACCATAGTCACTGTCACCATCACCATCATGACCATAGTCACCATCACCATCACTGTCACCATCACAATCACAGTCACAGTCACCATCACAACCACAGTCACATCACTGTCACCATCACAACCATAATCACAGTCACCACCAGAGTCACCATCATAGTCACCATCACAGTCACTGTCACCATTACAGTCACCCTCACAACCATAGTCATAATCACCATCACAGCCACCATCTCCATCACCCTCACAACCCTAACCACAGTCACCACCACAACATAGTCACAGTCACCATCGCAACCATAGTCACTGTCAGAGGCAGAATCACAACCACAGCCACAGCCACAGCCACGAGCACAACCACAGTCTGCATCGCCATCGCAGTCACAGTGACAATCCTGGGGGCAGCTCACGCGTGTGGAGCCCCGCACTTGCTGTCGGGCTGGTCCGGGAGCTGGCGCCCTGGGTCTCCGCCAGGGGGCTCGTGGCCGCGATGGTGGTGGCCGTAGGGCGGCTGGAAGGGAAATCACGAGAAGCTTCTCTTCTTAGGGAGGCCCGGGGGAGGGGGGCGTAGCAGACCCTGACCCATGACGGCTCGCGTCGTCCCCCGTGCGTACTGCTGCACGCCCGACGCCTAGTGCGGAGCTCGACACAGGGCAGGCACGGAAAACCTGCTTGCTGAGTGAACAGAGAGGGGCCCAGACGGAGCATCGGCACGTGGAGAGCAGGGATTCTTCGTGTCCAGAGCGTGTCCGGGCTCCCAGGCTAGCGGGTCCCATTTGACACTGCGTCCGTGAACACTTGTTTTCCATGAATCTTTCACCCGCCTGAAGCCTTGCAGGTCATGTTGGGCTCGCTCTAGGACTCGGATGATCCTTGGCAGAATCAAAATTCCATAATCTGTCACACACACACACACACACACACACACACACACACACACCACGTCTCCTGGCTCCAGACAGGGAATCAGCCCTTTTCAACGGCAGCCAAGCACCCTCCCTGGGCTGGGTGCCCTCACCCTGGGTCCAAAGGACTCAGGAGACAGCTGTCTCCTGCCTGGGCCCCCTCAGCTAAGATCTGATTTTCTCATCATCTGGATAGTCTCAGAGACTC